CCCCCTTTCCTTTCTTTTAACGGTATTTGCACACATAAGCAAGCAGGTTGGGAACTATGCAAATAATGGGCAATATCTTTGACTACTGTACCAGAGCACATGCAAACACACATATATGTGCCACTTCTAATTCACAAAGAAGATTCTGCTCACTGCTTTAGTCCATTTGTCTTTGGTTTAAAAGGCCAGAACTAGCTGGAAAAGACACTGCAGCTGAGGATCAGCCAAGGCACTCTCAAAATAACTGCCTTTTCCTTGGCACAGGGATGCACTTAAGTGGAACTATGCAATCTGAACTGTTAGGAAGGATCAGCACAACTTTAGCAAAAAGCTCTGACCTCTTCCCAAACTGCCTATATCTGCAGTCCCTTCTTGCTCCAACACAGCACAGAACCGCAATTGTTCAGTGGTGATTTAAAGCTTAAGTTCCAGACATGCACAATGGCTCCTGAAGGTACCATATCAGATCAACCCTGTGATCCCTCTGCAAACTTCATTTATTTCTGCTGCAACCCAAACTGTAACGAAGATCCAAGGTACACAACACCATCAGAACTCAGTTGCATTTCCATTCAATATTGAAACAAGCCAGCACATGCTGGAAGTCAGGAATATCACAACATTGCTTTGTCAACTCCAAGAGAACAAAACTGGTTCTCCTCTCACTTCAAAATAAGAGACAATTGCTTTTGTACAGCAGCCTTCACAACTTAGAACATTTATTGGCCCATAGCCTTGAATACGGGCCAACAAATTGAAAACGAGGAAAGTCATCAGGATAACAATTCAATTTACTCTCCAGAGAGTTGGTATGTAAAAAATCAGTATAGCAAAAGCATTATGCATATTCCCAAACTCCAGATGAACTCAAAATGTTCCATTTTGAATCCTCACCAAACACAATACAACAAATATCAGTACAATTAGTGGAAGAAGTTCAGAACTTGTTTTGAGGATGCATTTGTCTTAATCATCTTCAGTATAAAACAGAGTCCTCACAGATCTAACAATTCACTCTGCATTAGGAGACAGAATTGTTTTTGCAAGTTAATAGACATGATCCTTAGCTTTTAACAGCTAAGGAAAGTTTTATGGCAGTCTTTTACATGACAGCTAGAGCCCAGCCCTATGTCAAGTATGTTTTGCATTAATTTTTCTACTTGGCTTTTATATATCTTACAATTAAACAAAATAATTAAGTTATTTTGAATTTCTAGAATAACACCTCTTGTTTTTATAGATTGGTTTGTTTGGTTTTTTTTCAAATGCCTAAACTAGTCTCCAATGAAACTTTTGAGCTATAATCAGTCTGCTTTTTCTGAGGCAGGAGACAATGTCATTGGTGACATTGTGTGGGGATCTTCATCACACAATACAGGGAGATCCCAGAAGCAGAAAGGAAGAGATATTTCACACCAAGCTGTACACATCATTTTTGAGCCTGGTACAATTGTTTCCCAGAAGAAAATCCACTTGTAGTAGATCCTACGCAGTAACTTTCTGCCAAGTTGATAGCTGAGATGAAGCAGCTTACAGTGATGAGAAGACATGTCTGTCAAGCACATGGACAAAATGCATCACTAGGTGAAGCAATGTTATGCACATAAAGGCTATCTACAGGTGAAAGAGTCAGATTTATATAATGTGAAAATCAGAAGTAGTAAGGCAAAGATGCAATAAAAGCAACTAACTACTCCAAAGAAGTTGTTCCAACCGGGGAAATCCCTTCCTGTTCTTCACAGTCACTGGGGGAATAAGAAAGTTTCACTCAGTAAGAGAGGAAAAGAAAAGTTTTAGGAAATGTTTGTTAACTCTTTCTGTGGCAAATTACCAGACCAAATCACTCAGGCATGCTATAACAACTTCCATTAGTGGTTAGATGAACCTCTCTGCTAAACTTGAGGTTAATGTGGTTGTGAGAGATGCCCTTGAGCAATATAATATTATGACTTAATAGTAAATAAAATACAAAGCAGCTCTTCTATTTCATTATGGCGTAATATTCTTTAACAGAAATAATATTTTAAGGGGTTTGGATTTTTTAAATTTCTTTTCAGTATACCAACATATTCAATGTATGCTAAAATGTTTAATTTTTTTAAAAACACTTTCAATTTTCTAAAATTATCTGGAATAAGTATTTTCAGGAAGAGGCATTTTCTTAGTGCCAACATTTTTCATGGTCTTTATTGAAACAGAAGAAATTATTTGAGCTGCTTTTGTTAAGTACTATAAGTTAAAGGTAAGAAAAAAGAGCAGAGAAAAATTCAAAGCTTGGGCAGGGTGTGTGTGCATGCAAATTTGAAACTGCTTATCCACTCCTTTCACTCCTTCCTGCCTTCTGTTTACTTTTCAAATATGTGTGGTAGCAGATTAGCATTTATACATATAATTTAAAACACCTCCACCATACAAACAGCTAAAAGATGAAGTTTGCATAACATTTTAGGCGTCACTATTTCCACAGAAAACCCTTGCCTTTGTTCATAGAGTTTAGGAGAGAAACTCTTCACTCATACTTACCACCAGAACACAGAACAGCTGAGAATGTAGCATGATGAACCCACACATAGTGAGCTAATAATTTTACTCATTTAAGGGGTCTCACTGAAGTAAGTGTTATAACTCAAGAGACTGATCAAGTCTGCGCAATCAATTCAATCTATAAGAAATGGCTGCGAACATTTAAAAAATGAAATCATTCCAAATGTGCACTAAATATAAAGTCAGAAAATTCCCTATCTCCCAAAAGCCTAACGTCACAATTCCACTTTTGTCAAAAAGATATTGCTTCTTCACAAAACAATGCTCCCCAGAAAAGATGGTGGCTTCAGGTGCTGCTAAATTCCTCAAGAAACCATCTCTGTCCATAAAATATGTTGATATAGTAAGTAAATATTATGTCTCAGCATGTATCTAATGCAAAATGAACAATTACCCCTGTGAAAAGTAAAAAAGTAGGGTCTTAGATCATTAGTTCATACTGAATTATTCCTTGATACTCTCACTATCGTACAAAATTCTACCTCCTAAAACGTATAAGCACTAAGTGTAATTCAGTAGATACTTAAACTCATGTTGACTTCAATGGAAATAGGACTTAAGTCTTTATGAGATTCTACAGCTTAGGTGGTGCAAACTACATCAGAACTTGTGTGCCTACACTTTTAATTAAACTGAAAATCAGATTGCTGTTTTCCCAAAAAAACATTTCTGCTCAAAATTCCCCTTAAGTCAAAGTAGGGAATTTCAAAACAGGTTAGTAGGTCTATATACTATTTTTACACACACACACACTTTAACCGTGTCATCTTGGTGATTACAAAAATACAAAAATCAAGTTAGCCTGCTTAACAAATTATCACACCAGCTGATCCACAGTAACTGTGCTCTTAGCTCATGGCAAAAGATAGTCTGGTTTGCAAAAGAGGATTGCTATGAACTACTTTGAATTTGCTACAAGAATGCATCTGAACACTTTACACAAATCACCCATGTGCAAAACCTTGTTATAATAGAGAAATTCACACATCTGACCCTAAAGTGCATTTATTTTAATACTTTAAGCTTTTTGTCTCTAAACTTATGTTTGAAAAGATAATAGGTAGGGAACACTAGTGTTTTATTTTAAAAATATATAACCCTCTCTTTTTAAAACAGTGATCTTTAAATATAAATGACTCCACGAGGGAAGTCAGAATGTCTCTTTTGAGAGTAACTTAGCCATGCCTACGAATATTTCTTAGCTGTGAATCCATTAGGTATAAATGTGCAGGAGTAAATACAGTTACCTATCACGGACTGCATAGGTATGCCAAAACCAAGATGAAGTGTGTGAATAACAATGGAGAAGACAGAGATTATTAATGATTGATCTTGAAGTAATCCAGCTGCTAACAGCATGGCAATGAAAGGGCAGGTAAATTCAGCTGTGTGTGCAGGGCAAGCAAGGCTCATAGGCAGAGAGGATACTCCACAGCATGAAGGAAAGCATTTCTTTGCGAAGTCCAACAGCAACCTCTTGTTCATTTGCTGCTTCAAGGCATGTGTGTATATATACACACAGCTGAACAACAAGAAAAAAAGCTAAATGCATTTACCTTGTCATTAGGATTGTACTGGATGACATATTCTATCTGGCCGTTTGGACCATCATCAATGTCAGTAGCACCACTGTTTCCAGAAAATCCTGTAAAGATGGTTGTTCCAACTGGAGTTAACTGTGAGAACAAACAGACAAATATCCATTGAAATCTTAAGGTATACAAGAAACAATTAAAGAACTCTTTGCAAAGCCTTTCACACACACACCCCCCACACCCCCCCTCCAGCTCTGGTCTATAATGCCAGGTTGACATTCTCTCCTCCCCTTTGTTGGGCCTGGAACCTCATGTACAAGCAACTATTTAGACACAATGTATTCAGATTCTATTTTAACTGATGCCAAGTGAGTGAAACAAATTTCCATTTTCATTCCACAGATTGTCTGCATCAGGACAAAACCCCATTTGTTTAAAAAAGATCAAGATGAAAAGTCTTAAAACTGAAAGAATTCATGAAATAAATACAAATAGATTAAAAAAACAAAAGCTACTTTTTGAGACTCAGGAAGGAAAATAAAGATGAGCTGCAAAAGTAAACAGAACTTATTTAACAGTGTCTTCATGACAATGTGAATAGTGCCAGATAAATATTATTATGTGAAAACACAGACACCCGGAGAGCTTTATGGTTTTAAATGTAAGAAGAGTGTTGTTTCTCCAATATTGTGTTGGCAGCAATTGAATACCCATAAAATTATATTTTGAAAGTGAATCCATTTATAATCATCGTAGCGTAGATAAATAGCATGAAATCAAGACCTATTGAGCTCAAGGACAGAAGTCCAACTGACTTCATGGGAGTCATCATTTCTGAATTTTAATATTCACAAAATTTTGTGAGCAATCAACCCAAAAGAGAAAAAACAAATGAACAACCAGTTCTGGATTCAACATAGACATGGCTCCTAGCCATGCTTCCTGCTGCTGGTCTCATCACACCCAAATTTTTGGCCCTTGAATTCAGAGACTCACTGACCCCTCTTCTTTCCTCAAAATTTTACATTAAGTTGTAAAAACATAAACGCTGTAAAAAGAGAAGGTGGCAAACGACAAAGAGTCATTCAAACATTTGTTGAAATTATGGATGCTATTTCACTTTCATATTTTGTAGCTCACACAATAAGCAAATAATTAACTGCCCATTTCCTCCTACAGTCATAGATCCTGGTCTTGTTTTATTTATAAAGCTGCTAGTTACTTTAATTGTTTAATGACTGACAGAGTTCTCCAAAATATTATGCGGGCCAAATATACCAAATCTTTGAAATAAGTAACACCAAGTCAAAACCTTTTTAATGATAAAACAATACTTATTCACACTATCTATACTTATGCCACAATAACTACGTATGATTATGTTTTGCTGCCAACTTGACTTGCTTACTATTGTGCTACAGAGAGTAGTGTCACATGCGGGTGTAGGAAGTTGACTATTCCCTCGCACGTATTAATTGCAAGACAATTACTTCACAGAGAGTCTCTGCCTTGTATCTCTGGTAGAGCAGAAGCCTTTCCAAGAATTCAGGAGAGCAATTGTCTCAGGAACACCAGCTTTGCCTGACAGTATAAAACCAGAGTCATAACCCAAGGAAAATAACTTACTGGTTAATGACAAAGTGCACGTGTAGGGACACTTCTGTCCTAAGGGGACAGAAGACCATAACAACCTGAAAACCAATTTGGAAAACGTACAGGTGGTTTTGTAGGTTTCTTCCCCACCAAGTCAGCTGTCCTCGGCTGGCCACCAGACACCCACCAAGGCCCTCTCAGCCCCATCCTCAACAGCACGGGGAAGCAAAACCAGATGAACATGCTTGAGAGTCGAGACAGGGAGATCACTTACCCATTACCCTCACAGGCAGAACAAACTCAACTTGGGGAAAACTGATTTACCGTACTGCAAATTTGGATGGTGATAAATGAAGATAAATCTGCACCTTCCCCTATCCCACACCTTCTCCCAAGGCTTAGCTTCACTCCCTCACTCCCAACTCCTCCTCACAATTTGTAACTCACTCCTCACTGCCACACAGCATTTTACCCTTTCTTAAATCCATTTCCCAGATGCACCACCACGCGGCTGAGGGGCTGGGCTGGGCACTGTGCTGAGGCCCTTGGAACCGGCCATGCCTGGCCCAGGGCAGCCCCTGCCTGGGCACCCACACTCAGGACAAGACTAAATAAAATAGTTCAATCAATTAATCATTGGTTAAATGATACATTAGTGGAAAAAGCTGGGCACAGCGCTGGCTTGTTGGGGGTTGGCATGTGATGGTAATCTCCTATGCTTCTCCTGTCGAACAGAATAAAGCCTCAATGCTCCCAGCTGAAACAGAGAAGCTTTGAAGACATGGTGTGTGTAGCAGCCTGGGAAGTGGGGCAGGGAACACACTGCCAGACACCACGTTCGTTAAGCACACCACTCCGTTAGGCTGCTGACACGCTCCTCAGCACTGGCAGCAAAGGAGTGCTGCCTGTAACACCAGTGTGATCTCAGGACAGGGACAAGTTACCACTGGAAATCAAGCAACAGATCTCCATTAAAACACTCCTGTCGCACCAGAACAGCCCAAGACCTCAGACACCCAAGGAGGTGTCTGTACTGCTCCTGCTAGCTGGACACTGTAACACTGTGTCCTGCAAAGGGAGAGGGCAGAGCTCCAGTGCAAGGTCCCTGATGATGAGACAGCCCTAACCGGGCACCTCCACAGCTGCCAGGAGGCTGAGGAATGGCTGGACCTGCACGAGTGCTCACAGCTGAAGGATGCCAAGAGCTGTGTTGCTTTTCAGAAGCACATGAATGCTTGGTTTCCACTGAATTCAGCCCACAGCTCTGCTCAGCAATAGTTACTTGCTCTGTTTCATCAAGAGCAGCTGTATCAGGGGCCTGACAGAGTGCAGATAAATAATGACTATCATAAAAGGCTCCAGCCCATTATTAAGTGACAACAAAGGAGACAATCGTAAAAATGAAACAGCAGCAAACACCAGAACTACAATTGTATGCTCTTACAGTAAAAGTCAAAAGCTAAAGTCCAAAACAACTGACTGCAGATGTGCAGACCTTCATGAACCTAATATGCAGGTTTCTATTTATCTACATTTTCTTTTATGCAATACAAATTATACTAGAAAGGACACTGAAAAGAATCCCCTGCCACTCCCTCTTCCTGAAAGTTAGGAAAAAATTAACTCATTTCACTCAACTTTCCAGCCTGGCCAAGATCTCACATCAGAGATTACTGCAGCCTTTGGAAAAAATCAGATGAGCTCTTAACTAAATTTCTCAAGCTCCACTTCTAACCATTTGAAAGAGGCACTCAGTGTTCAAAGCTATGCAGTATTTTTATACTGAGATCCCAACACTGTAATGATTTACCATTAGCCAGCAATATCACTGTTACCCACAATTTGTGAGGGCTTTCTGACAGACTGATGCCACCATTCACTTTATTGTTGGAAAAACAAGAACTTGGTTCACTTTATAAAACGTGACTATACATAGTGTAGGTATATATATATATATATATACACTGTTCTTTATTAACTTGGATAATCCCACTGCTCTTGTTTAAATAAGGCTCAGTTATTATATCAACAGCCCATGAGGAATTGCATTCCTAGGAAGAAAGACAGGTAACACAGGAATGAAAGGTATGCTTTTCTAGCAAAAATTATGGAGGTATCTAAAACACGCATCCAAAAGCCAAAAGAACAGGCTGAAAGACTGAGTTTGATCTCACACAGACCTAAAATGGGCATAACATTTGAACACATGCACGTGCAAGCAAAACAAACTGGTTAATTAGATTTTTTGCACTGGCGAAAAGCAGAACATCGAGATGGTTTTGTATTATACACTATAAAGTATACATAATTTCTCAGATCAGATCAAATTCAGCCTTTTAGTAGATGCACACACTCTAGGCAGTAAAGACTTATCTAGAGCTCTAACCACCCCACACCATTGCTATGTCAATCTGTAGCAGACAGATTCTGCACAGCACCTGTTTTCCCACAGTTCCAACTCAGCTCATTCTCTGAAAAATCTTCCACCACCAATTCTTCTGGGAGATGGAAGAGCTGGAAATGTCAGGGAGTGGGGTGGGTGGGGTGGAGAGTGGTGTGTCCCAGCTCCTTTGCTTTGCTGCCTTTCAGAAGGACCCAAAAATGGCTCCCGAATGTGCTGCCTGAACTCTCTCTAACGCCCCACTCGTCTCCTTCCCATTAGATATGCCTACTTCAGAGAATACCTTGGAGAGGAATTTTGTTTCTTCGTATTAAACTGCAGTATCTCCTAAAGAAAGGGACTGAAGTTATGTAGCAAAGTGTTTGACCGCAATGAATGTTTTACCTTATACAAGGTAAAATGTTCAGAACTGTAAAGAAATAACTATTTTGAATGCTAGTGACAACCTAAGGATAATAATCTCTGTGGGAATTCAATATGGTAAAAAAGGAACTACGATGACAAGAAACAAGTAGGATTTCAAAAGAATGCAATTAAACAAATAGAGAGAAAATGCACACAATAAATCTTACTCTTCCACAGTCAACAGCTGTAACACTTCAAAATTTCCTTCAACTTGATTTATGTCTATTAGAAGTCCAGATGCAGACAGGTATGTTCAATGCTTCCATAAAACATTCTAAATATAAATTGTCCTATTATTGCCTATTTACAAAGTTAAAAATGACTAATTTTTCACAGTGGCCCCAAAGAGCAAAGTGAGATTTACAGTTAATCATTCTGAGCTAATATTCTTTTGATGATGTCTACCTGCAGAGATTAATTATTTCAATACCACAAGGAAAAAACCATGAATAATTACACCAAAAGAAATGAAAATTCAGCACAAGTTATAATTCTCAACAGCACAAAGCCTAAGTTTTAAGATGACTGAAGTTCAAGAACGACTCATTTTGCTAAAGGATTCCCATCTCTGCCAACTGAAAAAAACCACAACAAAATCAACTCTAAAATTTTGGTTTACAAGCAGCTGTAAGGCTATGCATGTTTAATACTGACTTCAAACAATTTTCTAGGAACTCCACCACCATTTCCAAACAAACCTGTTATTAAACGCTCCTGAGCTTACCAACACCTCTGTAGGACT